TGCGGCAACACAATACAAGAGGTGAATTATGTCCAATAACGTGTCACCACAAGTGCATCATTCCTTGATTTATTGTAAAATGAATCTGAACTTTTTACTTTTACTTCTGTTATGATGATAAACTGAAGCAATTTCAAAATTAACATCGTCCTACTTAGTTTATAAGGAAATTATGAAGAGGAACAAATTAAATGATTTGAAAATGATAACTATATAGGTGCTGACGTTGTTGGCGGTTCTAGTGTTAACATACATTTAAATTAAATATGTGTAATGGCAAATGCCATGATTTTCTTACCTGGAATTCTGTCTTTTTGAACAGACTTTTTGATTGAGTCCTAGCTATATTGTCTGCATTTCTGGGGTTAATATGAATCTAATATGATTGTCATCGGTCTAAATTAGATTTCAAATGATTAACTGTGTATGTAAGATCATAGTGTGGGTTGAATCCATTTTCATAACCACTGTCTTTTAACTGATGCGGAAATGCGGAAACTGGGCTTATTCATTAGAATGTCTTATGACTTGACTTGACTTGCTTGACCTGAACAATAACTTGACTTGACTTGCTTGACTCTCACCACAGTGACTTGGGACTTGCTTGATACTTGTAGGTCAAGACTTGAGACTTGTTCATGACTTTCACATAGGACTTACACCCACCTCTGCTGATTTATTTCATTGGTATTTTTCCAGTTCCTCCAGGTCCCTGATGAACACTTTGGCTTGTTCTGATGATCCATTAAGCTTGATGAAGATTTTGCAGTTTGCAGTCCATGTTGATTGTATTTTTCGTAGTTTCCTCAGGAATCGGGCCTTTCTGGCGATCTCAGCATTTCTTTTAGTGAGGTGTTCATTCATATATACATCCGAGCCCTTAAGCCATCTTCCCTGTTTCAGAAGTTCAGTTTTCTGTTGGCAAACCTTATCTTAATTTGTTTAACAGAATTGTATTTATTCAAATAACTTAAAATGAGTAGTTTCAGAGGGAATGTTTTAATGGTAGATCATTTCCACATGACAATGACAATTAAAAATGTTCGCATGTCAACCTTTTCCACAGTTTTCCCTTAAGGTAAAATGGATTTAAACAGATTTTTTTTCACACCCTCCTACCATTCATGTAACACTTTTCCATGTAAGAAAATACAGCATTTTAAAACATATTTGGCAATACAGAAGCAAACCCATTAAGTTTTCCTCCACAAATAAATTCAATGAACATTTTATGCTGACACATGGATTCCGAGCCCTCCAACCCCCTCAACTTTTTTTTTACTAAAGTAGCCCAGAATGTTAACAGTCTAAACAGCTAAAGGGCGTTATTAATGATGAAAAAAGTACATTACAATCATGTAGTTTAAATAGACATGTCCTAGCTAGACAAAATAAAGATGAGAATTACAGAGTGGAGTTAAGGAAGGAAAAAGGGGAATGACCATTGATTTGACGGGGCATTTTGTCTGCCAAATTTTGAATCGTTTTTTGCACTTTAAATCACATCTTTGGGAATTACCAATTGATCAGATTAAATCTTAAGGAAGGCAAGCATACGTGCTTTTTAAAGTTACCATTCTTCATTTTACAAGGCTGTTACTGTTGCTCGTCTTTGGCTCAAGGCCTAGTGATCAAACGGAAGGCACTTTTGTTGGCATTGGTGATGCAACTAACATGGCAGTTATACCTCAGGGCCCTAATATTCATGAAACGCACTAATCGATCATTTTGACCTTTTCTTTTTTACCTTAAAATCTTCACACAACATGTGTTACCAGCCAAAGATTTCAAACTTTTGACTCATCATCCAAATTCCTGACCCATTTATTTTAAGTAACTGCACACAAACTAGTGTAATAGGCTTGCGTATGACAAGAATCATGAAGCTAATGGTCGGCCACGTCATGTTCTACGGTCAACACACATAGTTGTAGCCACAGAAACAAGCATGTAATGTCAGTTTGACTTGTGCAAGAGGATCCTTACAAGATTTGTCTTTCTACATGAATGCACAGGCTTTCCCAGACTAAAGACCAAAATCTTATTCTGAGTTGACATGAAACAGAACCCAATGTTAGCCCGACCAGGCAATACTGTAGTAGGGAGATCTTAAAGATGACTTAAGTCACGGGCCAACATTTAAAATCATTTTATGGAGGACTATACTTTTTTTCTTTTAAAGAGGACTGCAGTGCTTGCATGTTTTTGCCAGTTTACTACCAATCATGTCACGTAGCGCAAGTGCCTCCCATTTTCCAAAGCAAACCATTAGAGTTTCTTTCTGGCAGCCATTCCTATATTTTAGAAGACATTTGAGGATGTCATATTGGGCCATACCAAACCAAAATCTCCGGCTAAGACAGTTGGCGGTCGAGTTGTATTGTGGGTGGTTTGGGCAAAGGAAAAGGAAGAAGAATACATGGAATAAAACAAATTGAATCGATTTTAAATAAATGTTATTGGAATGTATGCTAAATTGGTGGGAGTATTCCTTTATGTTACTAAGCTAGTAGGCTGCCAAACTGCATCAAATGTGTCAGTTATACTGAAACAGACAAACATGGACATAGTGAGCAGTATACATCGTCTTCACTGTGAAGGATTAAGTGCGGGAAGCATCCATTAAAATAGGAAACCTTTATCTGCAACCTGAAGAAATATGATACTACGCTTTGGAAGATGGCCTAAAATAACATTACACAACTTATTTATGATAAGTAGTAATCACGCTCCAACATGCATGAACAGACAACAATTTAACTTTGCCAATACCCTGGCAGGGGAGGTAAGTATCACCTCCGTTTCCACTTCTAAAGACAAGCTATGACCTCATGGTATTACAGGAAGCACGTCACTGACACTACCTTCCTGTAAGTTGCTATCATCAATACTTAAGCGACCCAAAAATAAAGTGTCGGGGAGAGTTATGTAAAAGGGAAGGGTGTATGGAAAGTAGCAGTGATGGAAAGAGTGAACAAGCTGGTTTAACACCACAGATGAATCACATTATCACAATTATTACGACTGCTCTGGATCTATCGACAGCGTGTGTAAGATTGTCAGATGGCCAACATTTGCTTAAAGCCCAGAGATAGTGTACCATGCGTCTGGAGACTTTTGATCAGTGGGTTTTAGATGATACAGAGACAATTGTCCTATTCTGTCACTTAACTGAACTGACGAAACTGTGGATTTCTTTCTTTCAGAGCCACTGCCAGCTGTGGCTGCTCTTTTCCCCATTCTGTGACCCGTCTTTGTAGAAGCCTTGTTATATTGGATCAACCACTTCTGTGTCTTTTGAAAACTCTGGATTCCTACAAGAGCAGAGAAATCCCACACCTCAACATATGGCTTAACATACTGTGTTGAATTCTTTCAGAATCGTACTCCTTTTCACGCTTCTGCTGCTTCAACATAAATCGTGACAACGTTTTTGTTCCCATCCTGCAAATGAACTGTAACTCAGCTTTGCAAGATCACCGTTACTGTTCAATTTGACATCAAATGTATACAGGCTGGACAGTGAACAAAAAGCCAGATGAGCCTTTTTAAAACAGCAAAGATAAGAGACGCCTCCGCCACCAGGCCGCTCTACACTTCAGGAGACAATCACAGTGTAGCAGCCTTCGCTACCTCGTGAGACTCTAATAGGGAGGGAGAAACACTTCACTGGTACCTTCATTTACAAAACTAATCATAAAAATAAAGCCTTGGACCTGTGACAGTAAAATAACGAGCAGAACGTGTGTTAACATGACATTAACCCGCCCCACCCACACCGAAAAAGAAAACGGTAATTCACCATAACACTCTTAGGCACATAAGTCTTTATGGATCCCACTTCTGTGGGTGTCAGGAATGCTTATCACACATTAACCAACAAAAAAAGGGGGTGAGGGTGCCTTTTAGCAAACTTGGTGAAAAGAACCCATAGTTCTGTTTCAAAGACGTGTGTTTGTGGCTTCAGATGACATAATGACCACGTACAACAAAGAAATCCACATAACTCTGAACTGCATGCCTGACCAGGAGAACACATCCACCTCGCTGTGACCTTTATCGTTTTTTTGTTCCAGATTTCCTCATGTTTTCCCCTGTTTTGTTGGTAGGTTTTCCATAAAAAAAAAAAAAGTTTGCATCAACACTAAATCACAATCTAGCCTGGAATATTGCTCAGCAGCTATTTACAGAATTGCAACAAAAAAAAACTATCTGACTGGTCTAACACACAATATCTCACATTATCCCGTGTTTTATTTTTAGTGGTCCTCTTCATAAAAGAAACATACTACAAAGTGTAAACATGAAAAGAAACTAGTCTGTATAAATGTTAATCCTTTTGCCCCCACCCTCCCCAACACCACCATGCCATTGAACCTTATCTGCAAACTTTACGATGACCTAATGAGTGTTTTTCAAATTTTGGGACCCTTTACTCGGTTCCGAGTTTTAGAGCAGATCCGCTGTGCAGTAACAGGACCTTTCTAACCGTTTCAAGTAAACCCCTTTAATGTCACGCTTTCCTCCATCCCGTGGTCCTTTTTGTTCAAGAGAGAGCTGTCCTCCATCGATCTGTTTTGTGGCCTCCTGCTTCTGCTTGCTCGGGTTGACATTATCTCTCACACTCGCACAAACACACACACACACACACACACACACACACACACACACACACACTGCACACACACACACACACACACACACACACACACACACACACACACACACACACACACACACACATGCACACACACAGCCAGCCCCCTTAATATGTTAAACAAGGAAGAAAAAAAAAGAAAAAAACACCTTTCACTTACAAATCCTCCGTGTTTGCAACAGGCCCAACATTTAAGTTAAATTTCTTCAATTTTTTTTTTAACACACAGCAGAATAAACATCGTTTGGAAGCAAGGTCTCCTGGTGGCAAGTCAAATGTTCAGAGGTCACGTTTCTTTTTTTACTTTTTCTTTGTTTGTTTGTCGTACTTGTCTTGCCGTTCTCCACAGATTTAGTCCTCCTTGGCCTGCAGCTGCTGCTTCCAGGCTTCGTTCAAGTAAACCAGTCGCTTGTAGTTGAGAGTAAAGAGAATGAAGTTCAGCGCATATGTAGTGATGCAGATGATGCAGAAGTCCTTCAGGACAAAGTAGAGGATGTAGCCCAGGTAGAGCGAACCCACCACCGACAAGATGGATGTCGTCATGAGAATAAGGGCGGCCATTGCACTCACAGTCATTCCTATGGCAAGAAACACAAACTAAAGCTTAGACAAAATAACTGAAACAAAAAGGGAAAAAATACATAACCTTAGAACACACAAGTAACCTGATGACTGAGCTTACAGCCTCGGAAAGTTTTCTATTTCTGTACCCAGCCACCGCGTGATGACATTCAGCTTAAACACAGGTCATATTATTCTGTTGCCACATAAGGCCAAGCTTGTGATGTTTCATTAGTAACAATTTGGCTGGTCCATACCTAAGCTGACATAGTAGGTTCCTGGTTGGGATGGAACGATAGGAGTTTTTCCTTCATTGCTTTAAAAAAACACTTCAAATTAGTTAATAATGGTGAATTTTTATAAACGGGATAACCATCAATACCCAAACAGAGTGACTTAAAAAAGATTTTTAGCTCACTATACAAGTAGTTTTTTGTTTGTTTTTTTTTAAAGCAGGAACTGGCACAATGTTGCTACTTAATAACTACATTACTTATGATTTGATGCTCACTAATATAAAATAATAATAGAAATCATTTTATTTTTATGTACAAAAGGTAACAAAGAGATTCCAGTTTTGTTTTTTTGCAATTTGAAAAGTTTTAAGCAGATGATAATTAGGATAATATCATATAATATATATAATTGAAATGTATTTTTTTATTGGAATTATTTTGGCTGGATATTTTTAACAGGAAATTATAATATCAACTCTAGTTCCTGTTTTTTCTTACTGGCAGAATATCTAGTTTGTCTGTAGTTGGAGTGTATGAACATGCGTGAGTCACACAGGTCGACAGCTTTAAACTGTGAGCGCTGTAATGACTCATTGTGAAATCACTGAGGCGTTACTAAATTAGAGGCATTATCAGTGCTTTACACATTGTTTACTGATTATTAGTGATATAATCTGATGAAATGAGACCCAATGGTGTTAAATTACTAAGAACATTTACTCAATGACTGTACTTAAGTATAATGTTGAGGTACTTAAAAGATTATGTATGGCTTAATTGAGTATTCAGTTATATGATGCATTATATCTTCTCTACAGTCTAGAGTAAATTCTGTATATTCTGCTTCACTACAGTTACTTTGCAGATTAAAATAATCAAAACAATTATAATTTACAAAAATAAATGATGGTGAACTATCTCATAGTAAATTAGCCAGCAGTGTATATATGTGTAAATGCTGTAACAATAAATATAATCCATACATTTATGCATCAATAACTATAATCCAATATATATGATTATAAAACGTTCTACACGGGGGAATTACTACTTTAACTTAAGTTAAATATCTGAGTACCCTTTCCACTACAGCGGGTCATACAAGTGCTAACATCCATCACAAGCAGACATTTATAAAGCTGTCGTAGTACAGAGTACTTTGAGCATGGAAAATAAGTACTTTCTGAGTTTATCTCTATCTTCTCTTCTTCTAGGGCTGGACAATATAATATATAATAATATAATAAAGACACATTTGGGGGGGGGAAACTAGCTAATTAAGTACCAGAGAAAATAGACAATATTTTTTTTTAATATATATATAAATGTTCAGTTTCTCAATTGATTTGCCAGAAATTGTTTCATAATGTGATACGAAAAAAAAAATAGCATGAGGGGATTTTGTCCATATTGCCAACCCCTCTTCTCTACATAACATGTATTTACAGTGAAAGGAAAATGTATTGGAAAAGCCACAGCTATTGCATTATTCTATGTCTTTATACATTGAGTGTACAGTAACTGTTAATGTTGTCCCATGCTGTACAATGGCATTAATCAAAGGTTAAACCTTGAATATGCAGATTCTGGAGTTGTTTCTATTGACAAATATTGGGTGTTCCATGGCCGTAAGAATAATAAGACTTCTGATCTTGTCTTTAATATGGAAATCTTGACCCTGTGTAACAGTTTGGCTTAACTGGGCAGCCATTGTGTGAGTGCTAACTGCTGCAGCTAAAAGGCCCTCTTGTTCTGAGCCGGCGCCAGGTGGCCAGGCGGATCTGCAGGCCACCATTCAGAAGAAAACTAAATGCTGATATGGATGATGTGATCGCTTATGAGCATCAGAAACTCCAACACAATGGACAGATAAAGGATATCCCCATGTGCCCCACTGATCAAACATTGAGAAACAAAGTCATGTAGCTCCTCAAGTTTGTTTTCTAGTATGCTTCCGACTTAAATCTCACTCAAATGTATGTGTTATTAATCTCTTTTTTTGTTCCTTAAATTTGTGCTTTTGTGTGATATTACTTTTTTTTTTATATGAGAGAATATACCGGTTTTTCCTCTAAATGTACCACTTTAAATCATAGATTTGATTATTTTCAAGAGTTTTCTTTTTGGATAAACCCCCCTCTCCCCCTCTAAACTAATAATGGCCCTAATCCACCATTGCCGTTATCTCTGCAGTCTTAGTCTTTAACTACATATTTGTATTCATACATGGCTACTAAAAATGATGTCAGTGCCATGCGAGACATTTTTGGCAAATGCAGCGATAAAAGAGGGAAGCAAATTGTTGAGTCACCTACATTTTCAATACCAAAAAAGGGCTCTAAATAAAATGACATCTTACCTAGTAGAAGCTGAAAGGCATAAAAAGCGATCCCGTAGACACTGTTGGGCTGGTTCAGTGCACTGTCATTTCCAAAGATTGAACCCAGGAGTCCAAATCCTCGACCCCACCTGAACCAGAAGAACATCAGCAGAGAAGGCAGTTACAACTTTTCTCGGGATGACAAAAAGCAACCAACTTTACTGTACTGTATATGTAAATAAATTAAAATGTAAATTGGCTGGGTGAAGTTTGCTTTTTAGAAACATTTAGTTCTTATGTAAGGCAAATACAAATGTACATAAAAGTATTCAGGGAAAATCAGCTGTAAAAAACATTTATTTTCATGATCGATTAATCTGCTCTGTTCTTTTTGGATCCATATTTATTTATAAATATTAGTTATCAATCAATCAACCAATTAATTAATCAACACTGGTATTTCACCATCCCTATGTTGGTGTAAATACTGTCATAAAAAGGTTAAAGAAATGTCCAACCTAGTTTATTTGAGCCCACAGTGATGTCTTTACATGTCTTATTATGTCAGTCCAAATTTTAATCAGATATAAGAAAATAAAAACAGGAAACTTCATATTTGTGAGTTTTAAAACAGTCAATAATATGTCAACGTATCATTTCAGCTCTACTACAAAACAGTCTGAAGCAGTTTCCCAGTCACCCATTTGTACATTATGTACCCAAACTCAAAGACCTCAGTGCCTTTTTTTGGTTCAGTAGTCAGTTGGTCTATTACAGTGTATTTTAACTTATCCTGTGTATTTTAAAATGTGTTTTCTATAGATACTTCATAGATATTAAAATATCTACTTATGGTTTATGTTTGTTATTTTCTATGTGCAATGTATTGTAAATATGTGGCTGCAACAAAACAATTTCCCAATGTGGGATCAATAAAGTACTTCAAATCTAATCTGGACCTGCCACAGCTGAAGGGGAGGAAAATACCTAAATTCAGACGCTGCTTGATTACCAAAATCAAGGCTTGGTTGTTTCACCAGAGGATGTGGTGCACGTGATGGCTGTCAGTCCATAGAGGCAGCCACTTTAATGAGTTTCTCTGATTTCAACAAGTAATGTTTTAAAAGGGTGACATTCAAATACTACCATCAGATCAGGTCTAAATGTTGTCCTGCATAACAACATTTCTATTTGCAACAGCAACAAAGAGAAGGTGGATTTCATCCAAAGAAAATACAACATTCTTATCCAAAGAGAAGATGGGTATGTGCGGTCATAATGCATAGGAAACAGTCTTTCATCTGTGTAGTGCTACAAACTTTTTGAGAGTGCATTTGATTTTGTGCAAAATTCTTAAAACAACTCCTACTGCGGTCAGGCAAAGTATTAACTGGAATCTTGCTTACTTAGCGTTTTCTGCCATATGACTTTAAGAAAGATACGTCAAATTAATCAATAAGTCAGTTCCAGCATAGAAGATCAGTGGATAATTTGTGAAAGCATGAACAAACAATGACCTATTTAAATACAACACACATGAATGTCTTTTCATTTTCATTTTTGTCTTACTATTTAATGTTTTAGTGAAAATTAGAATTCACTCAGAATGAAAGGTTTTTATTTCTCATTTTTAGGATGTGCTGCAGGAGCATGGAGATAAGAGACTGGATCAATAACTCAGACCTTTGTTTTATTCATTTTTATTCACCAGAACGACACATGCCCATGTTATTGTGTTTGTTTTTAAATAATTGTATGCATCTTTTGGTGTGCATTAGCAATTTCATTTGATGTATTACATTGTAGAAGCCTATTACCTTTGTATATAATGAATTACGGTTTGCTACAATGCAGATAGTCATGCATCCCATTATATTCACTACAGAATTGACAATACACAAATTGAAGGATCTGGCATTTCTGGTTTTATTTGCAAAGAAATTTAATTATTTCAAGCTAATTCTTAAATGTGTTATTTTTTTGTAAATGTAATATTTAAATCTAAGATGTTATACAATATGTTTCTCTTAAATGTATCACTATAGGCATTGTTTTGTTTCTTTTCTGGAGAGTTTCTTTTTTGTGGACTATTTTAGTTTTTTAATAAAATGGGATGAATCCCTTAGCATCACTGTGCAAACATTGAAGGACCTGGCAGGATTGAAGGATAGAACCTTCCCTTTCTGATTACATCTGACCAATACAATGTATTGATTAATGTATTGATTGATTCTGGTCAGCGTTTCAAAGCTTTGTCTTTAAGAGGCATGCACAAAACAGGCCATTCTACATACATAACAAATACACATTATCTCCATCTCCAGGAATATGGTATTAACTTTCCAACCCTTAATGGCATTACACTGCTGGATATTAAGCTTTATTCGCCTTTAGAACGAAGCTTCTTCAAGGAAGATTTGTTTTCTTCATTCAGTCATTTCTTTAATATTTGTTAACATTCAGTCAGAGCTGATGGTTGACATTTTATTTTAGGTGACAAAATCTAGTACTCAGAGAGTGAATTGAGTCACTTATCTTTATCCTACAAGTATGTAATGGGTCTAAAACACATTCCAGCCAGTCTTTGAGTTCAAGGCCTGCAAAGACTTTCAAAATTGTTTAAATAGGTGGGGTTCTCTTGAGTCATTTACAGTTGCCCACAATCAAGCTAGAATGGTAACTTCAGATAATTGTTTGAATGAAACAACTGTGATCTTAACTTTAAAGGGAGGTTATTCTACATGCTTGCAAGCTCATCTTTGTGACTAACGAATCTGATTTATTTTCAACGCACACATAGCTTAAATAGAACTCCTGCAGCCGCTTTACTAATGTAGCTATGAACATGTAGCTATCTGTAAAACGGTGTGCTGATTATAGCAGCACCGGAACAAGGTATCCACCTTTGCAGTCCTCCACACTGACCTCTGGAGCATTTATATGCACTGTCCCTTTAGTTAGCCGGTCTATAGGGTTTAACCCCTCGGACTAAATGATAGCTGCCCCGGTGACATTAGCATGGCAGCTAATGACAGCAGCGTGACAGCTAACGCGAGAGCTAGCTAGTATGTCTAAAAGTTGCCCCATATGAACAACGTTAAACTAGCTCACCAGCAAACATCATAGCAGAGTTCTGCGGAATGAATGGACTCATTCAGCAGCAACATCCATGCACCAATAACGTTAGTCTGAGCAAGCTGTGGTCAACTTTTGTGCTAAAGTTGCGTTTACAGATGTGCTACCCATTCATACACAGACAGCATCCAGAAGGACCGGTTAAAATAAGCCATCAGCAACTTGCCCATTGATTCAGTTTTACAATGCTGACGACTCACTGTTGATAGCTAACTGGCTAAAGTGTAAGGTTAACAAATGTGTTGCGTTAGCTGACGTTAGCAAAGTTAGCTTCATTGAGCTAGAAAGCGAATGATATGCTTATTGAATAATAAGCACAAAGTTAACTTATTCCAGAAAGGTTATTTAACTAACAGCCAGCCCGCAGCACACCGGCACTAATAGTTTTCAGTTAGCATTAGCAGCACGTTAGCGGGCAGCCGGCAGATGCTAGCTGGGAGCCTCTGACAGTTTGAACCGCCAGCCCTTCCCAGGCTGCCACAATAGCAGCAGCTTCATTGAGCGCTCTTTGCTGAATTCAAATTACCTTGAGCTGAACACTTTCGAACAGCTGATGGAGATGCTGACGTCGCACATCGCCTTATAACTCGGATCCCGAGCCTTTTCTGTCTCGACGTGAAAGGCATATATAGACAGCAGTATGCCCAATAGGCAAACGAGAAGCCTAGCTATTCTTTCCCACCGAGGGGTGGACACTCTCAGGACGGGCGCCGCCATCACTCTCTGGCCTAGCTGGAGACACGCAGAGAGTTCGCCCGAGACAGGACTGCGACGTGGAAAAGCGTAAGGACGTGCCACACCGTGAGGGGCGGGCCGTGCGCTGGAACAAAACAGAACATAAACACTGAGCAAGGCTTTCTATGCGGAGACATTATTAGAGGCATCTTATATGCAAGCACAAAGTAGGCTCATACACATAGACTGTATACAATGGGAAAATACGCACATGTATTGATCGATTACAAATAAAATAAACCAAAAACGCTCAGTGTTGAGTCCTTTATGTAACAGTAACAGTTATGTGTGATTTTTATTAAGGTGTGTGCAATAACTTTTAGAAATGGATACTTGCGACAAAATTCGAGTAAGAATAGACTCACTATGTGCAATGTAAGTTATTACCAATTACTTTTACCATAACCTAAACAAATGTCAGTTAATAAAGTGCTAAAAGTATTGCACGTTGGATACATTATTATAACAGCAATAGGATGTTATTTGGTTTGCCAAACATGCACACAGCACCCTTGTTGAAATACTCAGGACACAGAAATAACAAAATAATCAATACTATATGTTACAGTAATATGTGAGGAAATACATGCATACTAGTGAAATAACAATGAACAAACTAACAATACATATCAATATTTCCCGACAAAAACACTACACTGTGCTTATTACAGCATAGTGTAGTTCCTTAGTCACAGCCACGATCACGTGACCCTCTGTATATAAACACTGGCTGGCTACAGCTGTTTACTCGCTGTTGAACTCGTCTGGTAAAATCTGCTGCATCCCATCTCCAAATGGCGACAGACATGGAAAGATTTGTTTTTTTCGAGGAAACATTTTACGACCAGTATGACTATTACAATCTGCTCGAGTTCTCGTGCCATGCGTGTGGCAAAGGGAGAACCAAGAGAGAAATCGAGCTGAACACAAACCGCCATTGCCCCGCTGGACACGAGAGGAAGATTGCAGAAAAATTTCATAACACCGAGCTGAAACGCAAGAGAACCAAGAGCTCCTCTTCTTGATGGATTTCTTCGACGTTTATAGGTAACAATGTGCCTTTGTAGTCTGAAAAAGTGTTTATTCTTGATGAAAAACACTTATTTATTCAGCAATTTCCTTGTCATGAAGAAAAATGACCTTATACCAAGATGTTTACATAACAAACAAGATCCTGCAGATTACTGCCATGAATGTGAGCTGAACAACCTGCCTTTGTGTCAGGGCCGTTCTATGCTTCGGAATTCAAGTTTGCTTTGTTCCACCTATTAGGTCAATCCGATAGGTCCAAAAACAGATTAGGTCAATCCGATAGGTAGAGCCAAAAACAGATAAAAAAAATTCCCTTTCTGTATGTTTGTGAATGTGCAAAGGCTAGATAACTGCTATGGTGTTTTTGAAACCTTAAAATTGGAAAATGGGTCAATAAAAATCAGGCCAGGATGGTAAAAAATAGACTTTCTACACCACAAATAAACAATTACGGTTTTTTTCCATCATATGTGAGCATTTATTTCAAGATGAAAATGTAAACACGGCTTTTGGGTTACAGTATTGGATATTATTTATATGACATGTTATGGGCCAAATTATAAATTGACAAAATAATCTGCAGATGAAAAGACAAATGTTGTTGCAGGATATTATTTGTGATGACCTTTTCTTCCAGATCCGGACACGAAGTTGGATTCCTGATGTTGACGATGGCCATGGTTCTCTGCCTTCCCTGTTCCTGACCCAGTGAATGGAGCGCTGTGACTTCGGTAACATGCCCAGTAATCAGTCACACGAGACAGCTCTCCATACTCTGTAGCAAGAACCTGCTTGTCTCTCGCTGGTGCAAAAATAGTTTGTGTTGAGCAATATAGGTCAGTGGTGTGTGCTTGATAAATATATGTGTAGTCATGTCTGTGGGTGCAGGAGATATGATACAGTATTTGGACTCAATAAAAATGGGTGATGATTCAACCAGCTTGGATTGTGTCTTTTCTTTTGCTCATAACTGAATCCAAATAGACATTATTTGTATTTTGATTAAAACTATTTTAGTCATGTTAAGTAACGTGGATTACATGCTTGCGTCTGTGTTTTCTATAGTTTCTCTACAATCAGAATGTTTCATATATAATTTCTCCCTCCTGTCCATGTCCAGTGTTTTTTTCAGGGGGAATGAGGCCTTGCTATGTTTACATGTTGTTTCCCAGATGAGTGTTATGCACATCCAGATACTGAGGTCATTAGGTCAAGGGACAGGTCTTTTTTTTAAATAATTAAGCCTGCAGCCTAGAAAGAGATGTATTTTTGCATTCAAAATGTTATGATAGTTATTAATAATATGAAATATTTGGGGTGTCTCTCAGTTTAATTTGAGAAATGTATGAAAACTATTTTGGCCCTATCCAACAAGCCTGGGAAATAAATGTTTTACAAATGAAGATTAAGAATGGACAAATCAATTGTTAAATATAATAAATTACGAATTAAAAGGGATGATGAGCATTAATAAATATCAGTGTTTGGGTTTAATCTATGTTGACTCTTGGCTGAAACCCCACGCGAAGTCACATGCTTTTATTTTGAAGGAATATCTCCCAACCGGAACTTATTTAACTTCCTGGTCAACACACATACGATCTTCTAGCATTTTGACACATTTCTTCGTATTTGTTCGCCAGGATGCAGATATGCAGTGTGTGCAGCGAACATACGCCGAAATACAGATGTCCAGCCTGCAAAATAAGATAGTAAGTAACGTTAACTTTAAATAACCATCTGTTAGCTAGCTAGCCTTCAATTAGCTTGTTTGGTTAAAGTGAGAAGACAGTTATAGGGGAACCAGTAGCCAATATTTTATATTGTTAAGGCACATCACTGAGTATGTAGGTCGGACCTAAATTAAAAAAGTATATACAAATAGCAGCCGTATCCATCAAGTGCTATTGTTGACATTTAAGCTAAATTAGGAGTTACCGTGCTGAAACATAATGGCCTTTAAGCATGGCTCGTATTCACTTTAAAACGTGGTAACACCTGTTAACAAAATAAGAAAATGCATAAAGAAAAACATGGGCAAATGTAGAGAATATGCCAGTGATGCAAAGTATTGTCCCTTAAAGTTACAAGTGAAAACAAGTTACAAGTTACAAGTCGACATCAGCAACACATGGGAGGGACGGCAACCCGCGTAAGTCAAAAACAGTTCGCGTTTTGAAGTCACTGGCTGCTTTTCCGCTGTTTTGAAGGATACATTCATTAACTCTGATTTTATTATACATTATTAGATTAGGAAACTTAACTCTTGTAAACATATGGAATCCCTTTTTTACAATGATAATGTAGACTCCAATAACATGCCTCAGCATTAAGTTTGCTTTAATTCTATTAAATAATAATAATAATTTCTATAAATATAAAAGTATACAATATAAAAAATAGTCCTAATTTTAAAGATAGTTATACAATTCAAAAAACGACATTGATATATATTAATGCAATTATGAATCACTTAAAATATTATTTTATTCATTTCATACTTTTGCAATGTTTCAAACTTTTAAGACATTCAGATTGAGTGCTGCAGATTCAGGAAAAAATAAACACAATGGAACACATTTATATACTGTAAAACTGTGCGTACAGAATGTACTTGTGTTACCTTGATTCAGTTTTGCACATAGGTAAATATTATGATCATACTTGTGTTTTTAATTCTTCTTTTCTTTCTGTTTCAGTTGTTCACTTGGCTGCTACAAGAACCATAAAGGTAAAGGAGCTGGATTTCAGTATGTTGGTGAAGTGCTGTTCAGACGAGCTGTGTTCATTCTCATAGGACGTATTCAAATGCTCATCGTTCACTGATCAACCTTCTAACTTTATGTGTCTGCAGACTCTTGCCTTCCTGTCGTTTCTGAAGTTACTGAAGCTAAGGATTCTTTCTACACAGGTATGGCCTTATCATTCCTGTGAAAGTGTGTCCATATCTGCCCAAAATAGCACAAATCAAATATATCATAAAGAGGTGGGGGTGGGCAATTTAGTAAAACTCTAAATTCTGTTATTACAATGCTTATCGTCTCATGCAGTGTTAAATAGTTTCTTATTTCATCTTTATTTATGATAAAAACATGTGTACAAATTCCAGAATTAGGTAAAATGACAAACTACATCCATAGTCCTTATCTGATAATAAACACATAAGTGTGGTAATCTATTGTCACCAGGCTGTGCATCCCACTGTCTCAGTCTTTTTTTAAGTTGTCAAATTATGCTTTACTCTCCCAGCACAAATCAAATATAAAATAATAGGTGGTGGTGGGCCATTTAGACAAAGAGTGCTTGTGGTCTCAAGCCATTTTAAATTGTTCAACTTATTTAATCAATAGAACTGGGAACAGTTACTGTATTTAAACAAATAAAGAAAACCTGAGCATTTCACTCTCTTTGTGTTAGTAGTCAAACGTTTTTCTCATTTGGAGATGAAGTCACAGCAAAGAAAGGCTGTGAAATTTAAATACGCATTTAACTTCACAATTGCTTCCCTGTCTTTGCAGAGACGACTGAGGAGGAACTTCTGCATGAAGAGGACATCATCGACAAAGTGCCTCTAGAGAAGCTCCAGCTGTTAGGTACTAATCCAACAGAACCTCTCGTCTTCTCTGCATTGATCAGCGGTGTCCCATGTCAAACGTTTCTCCATCTAACACTTGCATTTACTCACGGCCACATACATTGCATATCCAAAAAAGCCTTGGGTAAATTATGTTTTCTTATGTCTCTACAGGTCAGTCCAACGAGATGAGAGATCTTCTTTGCAACCCCCACCTGAGACAGCTGCTGCGCTCCATCGACAGCGCAGACGTTAAAGACGAGGCGATGAAGGCGGCCATGCAGGAGCCTCTGTTTGTCGAGTTTTCTGATCAGTGTATGAAGCTAACAGCCAAAGGACGCGATGATTCATAAAATCACCCCTGCTTTAGTTTGTCTCTCAGATCATCTTTCATTATATTTTTCTATAAAGTCTTGGAATAAGCATGTGAATCAACTCTTATTTTCTTTTTTTTTTTAATGAATAGTGTTTAAATAAATGCTAAAATATTTTAAAACAATTTCCATTCCTGAGTCTACAAAAAAGGCTTCATGATGTAGTTTGTGGTTGAATTGCTGATCACAAGTAAGCACACATTCAGATGAAAGGAAAATGCATAAAGTTTATTTCAATAAGTCATTTAAATATTAATATTTCAAGTTTTACACATTGATCCCTTGGTACCACTGACAAGCAGTATACATATATATTTTTTTATTCAAAAACACATTTAAGTAAATCAACAGCTGGAAGCCGGTTAAAATACATTATTTAGTAATCAAATTAAGATGAAATGTATAACAAGAGACATGTCCTTTTAGCCAAAAGCTTAAAGGATATTAAACATCAATGTCAGTTACATGAACACAATTGTCACGTTATTATAAAATATATTTTGAAAAAGACTATAGCAAAACTTGATGGCACTTATGTTTATTCTCCGACACAAAACATTGGAGTACAAAGACTTTGGTATTGTTCTGCAGGACCTTCTGCAGCAAATCCACACAGTGTTTTGGCCAGACATTTGACAGATGTGCGAATAAGAAAGACCCTTGTCAAACAAAAAGCAGCATTTTGAATAAACCTGGGTTTATTCTTTCCCTGTATCACATAAGTGACGTGTGTGCTTGGTCATTAATTGTGTGTCTATAGCTGCATATTAGCAGATGTGTAGTTTTAATGTGCAAGATGTGCTTTACGTGTGCAATACTTTACTTTTTTAAAGCATCATTTACTTTCAAAATAAATGCTGGTTCTAATAACCGGATAATCTGCGCATCCGACCTATGTGTTTATACAACCAAAATAAATCTATAAAAATCACACAAACAATCACCCTTAAATAAATAAGCACATTTATGATTTGATTGTAGATTATAAGAAAGGCACTTGTCAAAGGCCAAATAGTTCGATCAGCAGTCAGATGTTCTGAAGAGGCATCAAGGAGACAAAAACCTGAAGTCTGGTTTTTTGAAAGGTTTTAAGTTTGTGCTATGTATTTACAGTTTTCCAGACAAGGACTACGAATAATAAAAATATATTTTGTCTTGTCCTGCAGTGACATTATAATAATCACTACTCTGTTCAATCATGGTTTTCTATTGGTCTGATTTCAAATGTGGCTGTTCAGTGTTCTGATTGTACTACAGACCTTAATAAGGCCCAGCACACTACATTATCTTACCTGACCTCCTGGTAGTTCAAAAATATTACTACTCCCCGGGGCATGTGTTGCAGGTATTGGCAGCTGTGTATAACACAGTGAGAGATCAACTTTGGCATCATTTAAAAAAAGATGAAGCTGAAAATGGTCCCTTTGAACACATTTTAACAAAATGCCAGAATAAAATGTCAGGTTTGTTCCCTCTGTGTCACATTATGGAAGAGCAGATGCTTCACTGCAAAAGCACCTCTGTGCCAGATTATCCTTAATCTGTGTGCAAGTAATCAGACATTAGTGTTCAGCGAAAGGAGGAGCTCTTACAAAGTTTTCTCGAGCAGGATGGCGTTGAACCCGCTCATGTCACTCTTCATGTCGGGCTTCCTGTCAGCGTAGAGGAGTGGAGACCGCCGGTAGTGCAGCTTTACAGATCCCTGGGTAGGAAAGAAGAATTCAATCGTAAGTATCCTCCAATAAATAAAAAACTTGAGATTTGGAAGAATTGGCGTGGGTGTGCCCTCACCTTGGGTTGGGCCCGTATGGAGGCGAGCTCCTGCGAGTACTGGTTGGGCTCCAACTTGTACTCCCCTCTCCTGGAGGGCAGGTTGAGGGAGGCCATGACAGACACCATCTTCTGGAAGCCCGTGGCTGTAAGAGACATGGTGATGGAAGGGGCCGAGGCCAGAGCCAGGCCCAGGGGCCAGCCTCGCACTGAGACGGGCTCTTGGATGAAGGAGAGCTGCACGGAGCCCCGCTCCCTGATGATGGCGTTCAATTGTGGCACGTCCGCCTCCAGTAGGTCCTTTGCATCGTCCAGTTCTGTCTCAGCCAAGGCTTTTAATAGTGCCTGCCACAAAAAACAAATATACATATTGTCCATAAATACACGTTTGTTTACTTATTGGTGACAATTTACATCAATAATCATTGTGAATGTAATCTAATAGGCTTTTTGAGGTTCCAGTTTAGATTTAGCAATGCGCTTCTATAACAGCCGCAGACTTCGGAAGCCTTGAGAGGAAAAAAGTCAGATCTACATTTTCATGATGTAACAGAATTTTCACACATGTTAGATGTGACGTGTGGTTGCCACCAGTGCCGCTGCTAAGAAGGCTTGTAAGCCAATAATATAACAACGTGGGTTTCACATGGTATATGTCATCAGTGATCAAAAGTCTTAGTTGTTGCCTGTTAGTGTGAAAAATACTAATGGGCATTTGTATTTTGGGGGGCGATAAATAAAATACATGGGTGGTGTTGAAATAAAGAAATACATGACAACATATTTCACTTTTCATTTTGCAATAACTTTGGTTGTGTTGTTGCAAATGGCCTAATTTTTTGTAACAAGGCTATTTTCTCGATCTATTTTGGAATTCCAATTTTTCAAATCGGTCTTTAATTCACTGTGTAACAAATCGACTACGCAAATTAGTCATTCGAGACAAAAATATCCACTGCAAAATACTTTGATAAAAACATTATATTAAAAGGTTTTTTTCACAACATTTTTGGGTTCAATCTTTAAAGCAACTTCCGCCCTATTCCGAAATTGACACCCGATGGACACACGATTAAGGAAATGTTCAAATTCGGCTCTGATCGTAACAACATCGGGCCATTTGTGAGGGCATCTTAAGCCATCGTATGACCACCGGTGGAGTTTCTCAGGCTCCGGCAGCAACTTCGGGAGCGGTGGCAACATCTTTGGCATCACAAAGCATTGCCGAAGGACTGTGAAGGTTCATTT